AAAAAAAAAAGCAAGAATTTCAAAAGGAAATATGTAATAAAACAAAGAAACCATACCTATATTAGCAGTAGCTTCGTCATTAGATGAAAATTGATTTTCATTGCGTTTTTTCAACAAGCTTTTTCCAGGTTTGGGCATTGGCTTTACGTAACCAATTGCTGCAAGCATCGCCTCAGCTGCTGCTCTTTTAGCCAGCTTTTTGTTCGGACCGGTTCCTTTACATCTCAAACCATCCATGCAGGTAACCTTCAAAGATTAGCATAAAATTCTCCAGAAGTTTTGATCTGACAGTCCTTTAGTGGCAGTTAATTATATAACAATGATAAAGTGCAGCATGAATTACTGCCAGTGAACCTGAAACGAGGAGCAACTAAATAAAAGGAACATCCCTACCTCAACCACGAATTCTTTGTAGCGGTTCTGTCCATGTTCCATTATTAGCTGAAATCTCGGTTCGGGCTCCTTCCTAGCTTGCATCACCTGCATTAAACGACTGACTGGATTAATCTGATGTCCATAGTCTGGATTCATTTTCATATCCTAAATTCAGTTTAACATTTTGTCAGTCTCAGAAGTAAAAAAAGAAGTTACAGAAACCAAAAACTTTCAGAGCAAGTAAGGCACAATAAAGCAGACTCAAACACATGAAACTGAAGCGTACCTTAACAATAGTCTTCCTTTTAGATTCTTTTTGTGTAGAGGTTTTCTTCTGCGACTTTAAAATTGTAGATGCGATGAAAATAGGTGAGTTTTCTGAAGTCAGGTAAACACGTGAATGCACACAAAGTCATGGTAAGCTTTGCAAAATCCTATCACTGTATTTTCAATAAATAACAAAAATAATGAATCCCCAAAGGACATACCTGAAGCTTTTAATTTAGTCAGCATAACCGCGCAAGCATTCTGCTTGGCCAGCTTCTTACTGCCGCCTTCACCATCAGCTACAATAACCTGTCCAGACGAAATTAGCCTACATTGATAAACGTAGTGACGATTATGAGGAGGGCCATCCTCTGATATTATCTAAGCATTTTTAAAGTAACAAATAGATAAGATAAAACAAGTAAATAGTGCTTTGAACAACGTAAAAAAGCATTTAATTTCTGTCAACAAAATGGAACGCTACATAGATTCTTATACTTACAGACAAGTAATAAACTTTTAAAAACTAAAACTAAAACCTCAAACTCGACATTCATACGCATGTGTAATGCGCACTCGTGAATCTGTGAAATAGCTGATTTTGGTTTCCCCGTACTCGTTGTAGCGATTGTTAGTGTACACAGCTGATCATCGTCTGCCGAATTTCTAGCACTGTCATCATTCTCAGTAGCATCAGTTTTGTTTGTTGGACCTACAAGAGAAAAGGTAATATTTAAATGGAACGTGGAAATAAAACAAAGCACACAAAATAAACTTTGAAAAATTTTATAATACAATGCATCCTAAGAAATATGTCGCGAATTAAATGAGACGAAAACGCTAGAAAATTTAGATTTCTAGCCGTACTATTCTTGTTGCGAAAAAGATATCTTAAAAAGTAAGCCACCTGAAACATTATTGTCAGGTTTGGCGCTCTGCTTATCCTTTTCCATAGATGAGAGTTTAGATGTCAGAAAATTCAAGGCCTGCAGTAAAGTAATCAAAGTCATTTCGTTTTAGCGTTTTAGGAAAACTTACTCGTGCTCGGAGTTTTAAATCTTGAAAAATTTAAAAAAAAATCGAAAAACCTACTTTAAATTATAAGGAAAGAAAAACAACTACAACAGAAAAAGTCAGGTAAAATCCCTAAACCTCAACTCAGAAAAAAGCAAATATAAAACATTTATTATTTTTAAAAAAATAAATGTTATGAAGATGACGAGAGAAAAGTTAGTCATTAGAAACAAATTCTCTGTAACTAAAAAAGAAAGTAGACTTCAAAAACTGCTGGAAATTCGAATGAGGGGGGAAAGAAGGTGAAATGCTACCTGTAAAGCAGCATGGCGTTTTGCCTTAACTCTGTCAGGACCGACACCAATAAAAGCTGGCGAACTTCGTCCTAATGTTAGTTGCACCTATAGAGCATCAAAAAATATATATAACTACGTACGCTAAAAATGGAAGTCAGCACCTTTCCCTTACTAGCCTAGCCCTTAAGAGTTATTAATTAAACTCTTTTTGATGTTTATCAGCTTGCTTGGCTTTATCCTTGCAACAAAATGAAATAAATGGTTTAATAATATCATCGAATAGCTGGATACTGTTGTCTTGGAAGAAAACAGACTACCACTGTTTACCCACTTGTTAACTTTTTTAAAACTTTCTTTTTCAGTTAAGAATCCCACTAGGCTCTCCACTCTTGTTCTCTTCTTCAAGATGAGAAATTGTTGGAATGGCGACAGATTTTTTACAAATTTTTTTTCAATGAAAATGACTGAGGCGTGCAAAAGGACAGTAAAGAGGGGGATATCTTTCCAGAAGCCTTATTGTAAATTCCCCATCAAAGACGCATAAAGTGGCAATTAAGAGGAAAAAAAATAGAGACATTGGTTTGAAACTCCCCTTTAGAAATAAAATATGCTACCTAGATCTCTTAATTATCATCAGAAACCTCTTCTCCAGAAAAGATAAAAAAAAAGAACCAGCTGGAAATTCCCATCCCATATATCATTATCCGGCAATGTCAAAATCCCACTAAGGTGGTATGTATCAATCAGCCAAACAAAAATTAAAATCAGTTCTTCCTCAAAACTGTGAACAAAAGTGTCCAAATATGCCTACTTAAAAAAGCCATGCAATTATTCTTTCGAAAGAAATTTGTCTGAATACACGGTATCCCTCACCGAGTAAAAACATCAAGATGCAGCATACTGCTCTCTTGAATTCACAATCAAATGAGAAGCTGTAGAGTAATTCCAACTTTTTAAGAGTACAATAGCAAACAAGTTTCCTTCACCAATGCAGAACTATCAGAACTAAAGCAGTACTTACAAGGTTTATTAAATTTCGAGTATGCCCTGTGAATCCCTTGACATTTCGCTACTCTAGAGGTACTCTCTGATAAAATTCTTACTTTCAGGCTGTAGTTTTTGAAATGAGTAACTAATAAAAGAGTACAACATGCTGCGTCTCAGAACTACCTCCCAAAATTAGGTAAGTCTAACGTCTTAACTACTATTTCCTCACAAAAAGAGCAGCATAACAGTGAAGCCACGTTCAACGAAGTCATGAAAAAGTATACCTGAAACAAACGCGGAAAAAAAGGATAAGGAAAAGCAGGACGTGGTGTTACGGGTCTCGACATGAGATATACTGGAAGACCTCGAGGACCTGAAGGACACGGTAGTAGGACTTGCGATGGCACGCCAAAACGATTATTCGGAAAAGGAATTAAGTTTCCACAAACTGGGACAGGTAGTCTCCTGAAACTAGCAAAATTAAGATGAAGCGCAAAATTAGTATGATAAGTTTTACAAACCCGTTTGATGGAGTCATTAGCGGAGGTGGGACTCCAACTGAAGTAACATCACAGAAGTTCAGCTCCAAACCCATTTTCTGAGCAATACAATTGACCAGGAACAACGGATTTCGAGGATCTATAAAAAACTAAAATAGGAAACTGCCGATGAGATGCATCAACAGTAGCTAGTAAAAAAGGACTGTATTTAAATTTCACAGAAAAAAAAAAGAATATAATAATACTGACTAAATTACGTACAAATCTTCAGAAAAAAGATTTTCGCAAAATAGACATCTTAATCCCTGACTAGCCAGAAATTAGTAGACAAAAAGAAAAGACAGTTCCCTAAAACCTACTGCAGTACGCTTTAACTGTTAAAGCTTGAGCCGAAAGCCATTTAAAAAAATAAGCTGCAAAATAACCAGTAGCTGCTCCTGAGTTTAAAGCAGACTGTTCTGTTTGAAAAGAATGTGTATTTATTCCAGTTTGAAAAATATTTCTTTTTTCCATGAACCTTCAAAAAATTCAGTTGTAACTCAATTTCATTTCTGCTGCGGTCCCGTGAAATAACCCGAAACATTTGAGGCTCAACATAATGTTGTAGCAAAATGTCAGGTTTCACACACTACAAACCTGGAGCAGCAGACAAAAAGACGTAACCAACCAGAAACACTACTGGACTTCAATTCAAAAATTCTATATTTAATAACTAAACCCTCCGCAACAAAGTCGGTAGATAAAACACAGTCTTTCAACTATAAAGTGCGCAACCGTGTTTAAGAGTAAATCAGGAAAATGAAAAAAAATCCCGTTAGGTTACGTAAAAGCTTCTGTACCGCAATGCTTGAAGAAACACTTCTCATTTGGTTAAAAAATCAAACGTATAAACCTTCTTCAGACTGAATTAAAACCATTTTCTAAAATACAACGGTAACTATCAATATCTCTCTACTGGCTTTCGAAAGTACCTCATTTTAATCGTTTTTTATAAAAAAAAGTGACTTCATATACAAGATCGTATACAAGACTTTTACCAAGTAGAACGACACATCTTTTTATATTTTACAAGTCCTGATCTCTAGACACACGAAACTTCTTTGTTTGGTGGTGAAATGATAAAGGCGCGTACTGAGGACCCTTGTAACCTGATGTGCCACACAGTAAAAAGAGGTACTGGTGGCAATCGAAATTCATACTGTCTACCAGAGGTGTTCTCGAACAAGTTGCTTTTTTCAAAGCTAGCAATTCTTATCTGCCTGAACTGTGAACCGTTCAAAACCTCAAAGGAAAATCAAGATCTCCTTGGGCAGCTTCTTAATTCTGATGTCCCCCCTTATTTTACTGTACTTCAGTAAAATAAGGGCTGGCCGAGTGATGATTTTACTGTACTAGCGAATGATAAGACGTATTTTTTAAGCTACACATTTTAAATAAAATTGTTCTTAGCGCCGGGTGATGATACTCTGAGCTTAGAATTTCTCAACCGAAACTAACCATTTGTCAACCTACTGATAATGCGAGGAAAAAAATTAAAAACTGATGACCCGTAAATAAATTTTCAGTAACTTAAAAATACGTGTGTCATAAAATAAAATTGAATCAAACCTTTCTTATCGGACTTTTTTGGATTTCTTGCAGGCGGTCGAGGCAGCAGAGTTTCCCGTAAAGCAGCTTCTGCAGCTGCCTGTTGAGCTTTTTTGATAGAAGCACCACACCCGTCAAAAACCTCAAGAAACAGCCCATTTAGTGCCAACTCAAAAGAGCATTAACAAATTAACAAAAGTGCCTAAAATATAGACTGAAATATTTGATTTCTTACTTGGTCAGGAGTCAAGATAAGTGAAACTCGGAAAAGCTTTCTGTGCGCAGGCCCACTTTCATCCATTAATTTATACTCATGTTTGAGCTAAAAATAAATTGATAACAGTACAGTAGAGCACAGCAGGCAACAACGTGTGTCCTTTTGGATTAACAACTATTCACCTGTCTTTTACTGTACGGTTCAATGCAAATAAATTTTTTGCAAAAGTAGTCAGTGATATAATGCTCACTCAAATTATTATATTAAATTTAAAATAATAAGTTTAGTGGCGAAAAATATAGCATGTACTAACTTTATTGTATCGTGCAAGTTCAGCAACCCGACACATGGGCGTTTTTGGCTTAGCCTCATCGATTTCTGCATAATTGTACACATTTTTCAGTGGTACTGATTCTTGATCTAAATTAAATAATTATAAGTAATAGGAAAGTTTACATCTGATTTTGTGGACTGTAATTACCACTTATTTAGAAGCCTAAAAGCGAATACCAGAAAAACAGCTGTGCCTTATCCAACTCGAAAAATTAAACAGTCCAATCTCAAAAAGAAAAAAAATTTAAAGAAAATGAAAAACAATACAATGACTAAGTAAATGAAAAATTTAACCCGTCAGATGTTGTCCACACCATGGTTGCAACTCAATAGACGAAGGTGACTTTTTTGACCTTACATTTTCTGTTTTAAGTGACGGAGGAGTTGTAACAGTTGTAGGTGCTGGTGAACACTCCAGCATTAAAAACAAAACTAAAACAAAACCACAAGTTCAACCTTCAGTTTTTTGCTAAAGAAAAAAAATTTTGCGAAATTAAGCTTGACATCACTCATACGTATTTTTCATAATGATAAAAAAAAAAAGAAATAATCAATTTTTTTAGCAAAGAATCAGCTGCGATAATGACTACAAGTACTAGAAAATTCAATAGAACAGAACGACACCAAGCAGCCCCTTTAATATTATCATATTTCACTTGTGGACAACGTAAAGCTGTTTTTCCTACCTGTCAATTCAATAAATTCTTACATTCACTACTAACTAAAAATCTCTGCGTGAACTTCATAAAATTTTTTACTGAATCAGAATCTTCGCTTTACTATGCTAAATTTTTTCGCCTTCACTTGTTAAATAAAATCGTTCACATCAGGAGTGAAATGTTATGTGTAGCAGATATAGTGAAAACTGACAGAAGCTCTTTCGCAAGAATTCAATAAACTTATGTTTATAACACCAACGCACTCACTCCAAAAGATTTTCAAACATAAAGATTGCAAAAGACATATAGAAGTGAGAGGAAGTGCTAGATGAAACATCTGCACGGAAGCGTTGGATAAAAAACAATCAAAAACATAAGCAACGTCGATATGTCTTCAGAAGCAGACAAATTTCATCCGTACTAAAAGACCTTTACGGCAGGAATTAACTTTAAATTGTTGGCAATAATTCAATTTTCTTGTTTATGTAGGGACTTGCAACAGGACCATTAAATGCAGATCAACAGCAGAATATTTTAGTGGCTGTCGCTACGAATTTTCCGTGACGTGCGATAAATTTTATCGTGTTCCAGTTGTTAATTCTTCGTTTTTTATCTTTTTTTTTCTTTTAAAAAGTTTTGTCTTTTCTGAAGACACACATCTTTCTTTATTTCTGCAGTGATTGAGTTACACCCATCAGACCGAATATTTCTTTATGCATTGTAGTCTACAACGCTTTATATTAGAACTGATCTGGGTCCTACACTAAAAAAACACTTCGAGGCATTCATTGACCGTCTGATTACAAGGGAGTATTCATAATGCTGATGCAAGGGAGTTACTGATAGAACTATTGGTGCCGAAAATTTTCAACAAACGAAAACTTCGACGAAATTGGAAGTGGTTCTTTGAAAGCAAATCCCGAGCTTTACATGGACGAAGAAAAGTTATTCAGCCAGTTAAGCAGGATGTCCGCCCTGAACCATCTTTACATGATGTGAAAAGTGAGGATGCTAGACAAATGACTTTTGAAAGAATCGTTTGAATTTATTTTGTGGTTCTGGAATATAGTTGAGATCAAAAATTGAGTTTTTGTTTGGGCTAGTACATTCCGCAGACATATCTTCAGTGGGCTGTCACGTATGTAAAGATTCACTGTTTTATGTCTAGTAAAATTTACTACGCTGGAAGACATGCATAGCCAGACATGGCTTTATAATTTTAGAAACAACTTTTGTACAAAGACGGAACAAATGCACTTTTATTAAGTTGGCAAAAGTAAGATTTATTTTGAAGGTTTTTATGGAGATATTGTTGGTGGCAACTATTTTTGTTCAATCGTAGTAGAACCTGTTTTTGGATGTGCTGACTTGGCGCTCTACATGAGGAACTGCTGGAACACCAGTCGAGACGTTTTGATTTTTTAGTCTCATTTCTGCTCGTTAAGAAAACTACTATATTCCTAATATAGAGAAGACTGTTTTTGGTCACTAGTTTCCAAAACTTTTCGTCGTATTTGGCTCACTTGCTGATGGTCGTTCTCAGAAGCATTCTGGCATCTAATAGGCGTCTTATAAGGCTTTTTCACTCTCTGGATTCTTCGGCATTCAAAAGTTTAATAAGCTTCATTTGACTAAAACATAGGAACCTGATTGACTCTAGTACATTGCCAATTGCTGTCGTTCAAAAATGGGCGAACAAAAACGGAATTGCTTTAGCAAGGTGTTGAGTGCAAAATTTACTTTGCCGCAAATTCACCAAAATAAATTTTATACGAATACTCAGGTTCTTAAAATTCCCTTGAAAAGTGTCTCCTACAAGGTACAATGGTTTAATCCAAATTATTTTGAGAGGCTAAAAATTACCAATATGTTGTTTAATTTTGGATAAGCTTTTCTGGTACTAACTTTAAAAAACATTTTTTTGAGCGTTTAATAAACTTTCTTTAAAAATAGGCTGGGATAGAAATGATTTTGTTAGAGTTACAAAGGAGCAAAAATATGACTTCTTTAGAAGTGATAAACTATAAAACTCAGTTAAGTTTGTGTGTCTTTGTCTGTTGAACTATGTGACATTTTAAACATGCCCGCAAAAAGTCATCTTGTGCTAGTAGAATAAGAGGGGTGAATAAGAATCTTGATGCTTAAATGCGTGTCCTGCATGACACCGAAATGCAATTTGTATCTTAGCGTCTCTGTGAACTAGAACCACTTTTTTTGAGCCACCAAGGTCAAAAGGCCTTTTTTAAGCATTCTGTCATAAACTTGGTTTTGTGATAACTGGTTGTTGTTGCAAAAAATTTTCACAGGGCTCACAAAGCTCTATAGACCTGTTATCAAACACCTGAATAATTAACATTATTGTCTTTGAAATTTGGAAATCAGGTGCTATTTTGGTACAGCTCTACTACAGATCTTTCCAGTTGTCAAGTAGAGACTTCTTCCGTGTAAAACAGTCGAGAACACTTTTAGCAAACGCTTAACAGGTTTAAACAAGCAGTTTATTTTATTGTTTTTGTGCTTTGTTCAAGTCTCTGTTTATCCCGGAAACTGTTTTAACTTTTCTATTTTATTAAAACGTTTGTCGATTGTACCATGAAGTAACGTCGACTCCAGCACCAAACCTTTACTTTCTAAGCTAGCTTAACCTAATCCGAACGGCAGCTTTTTATATCCAGTACCAGAAAAAATGACAAATATTTCGATAATAATCTTAAATTTCTTCGAGAATAAAATTGTGAAGGTTGACCTTTTAATTGTCATTAAGTCAGTATTGAGACGTTAGCTATATATGAACCGTTGTTGTGAAAAAATTAGATAGCCTCAAAAACTCATTCAAAATTAGGTAGCCGAATTTTTTTTGTCTTCGGTCATTATTGTTCTCAAATTGAGATCTAGAGTTTTTCACAAATCAGTGAAGATAAATATATCACATCTTTACTTCAGTGTCGTAACAATCATTTACTGTGCTAATAGTATTTAAAAATTTAAAAGTTTTTAAAAGAAACATTTTTAAATTAGCGATTATGTTTTTGATTACCAAATTTTGTCATGCAGATGATTTTTATTTTTCATAACTTTTGTTTTCGTTTTTGATTCTACTTTAAAGTAGTATCTTAGGATACGCCTGAAAACTCACATAAACGACATTGAAACTAAATCACCTGTTAAAGGCAGGTAGAGAAGGCAATTTTCTAACAGAATAAAGGAGACATTCAACGGAACAGTAAACCGGATTTAAACTAGAAAACTGAGCTCACTGACGCTGAGGGGTGTTAACTTATTTGAAACTGGTAGACTGACTTTTGCTATAAATATTGATACAGTGAAAATAACGTCCTACTTAAAATGCTTGGAGATGACCCGATAACTTTTTTTTTAAAATATTCTTTTTCAACATTGTTAATTTAGAGAAGGTGTATGAATGCTTTTTAGGAGAATGTTTAGAGAAGTACTAAATAAGGTTTTTTATGTCATTGGCGGCCAAGTAGAGCCTCTAGTAGTATCTGTATTTTGTAGTTGGTAGCAGACAGATTAGCTTTCCTTTGACTTGTAAAAAAAGCAGAAAAAAACCAGGTGCGTCGGCACTGTCAAAAATTATTGAATTAGTGAGGAATTTTCAAATTAGACAGTTCAACAACAGCTTTTTTGAAGGACTTGAGTAAAAGAAATTACTTCCCAAGGCTGCAACTGTCTTCTTTTGCGTTTCCTCCCTTCTCGGTTTGTGTATTCCAATTTTGGATCTTTCCTTCTGGATAAGATTGTTTTCCTTGTTTCATTTTTATGACTTCATATTAGCATTTTTGAAACTTGTAGTTCTTCTGCACTGAGACTTTTATATTTCTACAGGATGCCTGTAAAGTCCCGTGATATTTATTATCATTTCAAAACTTTATCTATACTACTGCAGTTAAAACTATAAAAGAACAAAGAGTATATTGTGGACAGGTAAGGTACATAGACATCAGTAAGTTTGCTTCTTGCAGTATTTCAACTGTTTCGTCAAAATATCACTGGTTTCTCACAGTTATCGAAAGATTATCATTGCAGAAAATTTTAAATTGTCCAAAGTGAGAACTGTGTTATAAAGCTAATTGTATCTGAAAAATTCCAGTTTAAAAATCCTTGTAAAAAGGACTAATTTTCAAAAGAAGCTCAGTTATGAGCGTGTGTAAAGCATCAAGAGTCTTGATGTTAAAATGCAGTAAAGGAGGTGGATTAAAATCTATATCGTTTATGAACTCCCTGTACGTTTGATTGGAGCTGAACATCAACTTCTGGAGCAGAGCAGTGAAGAGTCGATGCTGGAGGTGCGATACATGAATTTTGAACGAAAATAGATGATCTTCAAATTTCCATGATCCCTTCTTTTGCAGAAAATGTCGTATAAAAATTTCAAAAAAGGAACTTTGCATAAATCATCATTGTATTACATGGAATGTTGAATATGCTGCTGGTACCTTTATGGTTACTATACTGATTATTGAAAGTTACGTAGAAAACTGCATGTTTAAAAGCAAGTTATGATGGTTCTTTGTAGTTTAATGACCCACACACTTTACTGTATTCGTAAATAACATCATTTATTGGTGTGCAAAGTGACGAGTGTCCGGTGCTTAAAGTAACCTGTTGTTAGTTGGTACAAACTTCAGTGATTTACAGAGCTATAAGGCTTTCACGAAAAAGTGGATGGATTGAATACGAAACCCACCGGATAAATCATTGCCGAAAGTCCTAGTTCTTATGAATTATTACACCGATAACT